AACCTCTAAAAACTGTGAACTGAAATAAACCTTTCTTCCTTTAACTTTGGATGTTGGCTATTTTGTTTCAGCAACAAGTACTTAAAACATATATTTAATTGTTCAAATGCTTCTATACGGAATAACATAAATATCACACCAAAAACAGAAAAATCTCTACTTCTTGCTCAGCTTTAAAATTCTTGTGTTATTGAAGTTACCTAAGCCATAAGGTTTCCCATCATATTCTGATGAACTATGAAAATATACCAAATACATTTAGGTATATATACCATTCTCCATTCAGCTGAAACAACAGGAATCAGGCAAATGAACCTGAGTTTTTAAGCAACAGTAAAGAAAAAAGAGCTTTACTGCTTAAAAAAACTATCATTATACAGTAAGTCATGATAATACTAATACTAAAAAATAACAATAAATCTTTTAGGCAAAAAGAACCCCTCAAAAAGGGAACAGGAGCAGGTCATTCAGTAAATTTTAAATTCCTTTTTATTTACTTGCCTAACATTTTTGTACTGGGGATTGAACTCAGGACCTTGTGCTCGTGAGGAAGGTACCATGCCACTCAGCTAAATCCCTGGCCTGCCTAACATTTTGATGTTTAGAGGCCAATTTGACTTTATCATACTTTTTTTTTTTTGGTAGTGCCAGTGATTGAGTTCTGGGAAGCAAGTACTCTACCACTGAACTACACTCTCAACCCCTAGTTTTAGTGTAAATGACAGACACTAAAAAAAAAAACCAAAAAAACAAGCGGACATGACATTCCAGTGACTTTACAGGTTTAAAATTTACAAACATTAACATCTAAAATAATTCCTTTAGAAGGCAAGTATATATTTCATTTCTCTTCTACCAAATTGTCTTGCCATGAAATAAGCCAGTTATAAAAAATGGGAACACCTACAGAGAAAATACTGCTTAATAGACAGTAAACAAAACACTGTCCTTTGTGTGAAAATCTTGGAGAGCATTTCATTTTTATTAAAATCTTAATTTACCTCAGTTTCATGTTAATCTTTTTATCTCCTCAAGGAGTGGAATGTATCAAATCAGAATTATTCTAGTATTACTTTATTTCTTTTGAAGTAGTGACCTGCTTTAGTTGTTCTGCTTAGATAATACAGTAGTACATGCTTCCTCTCTAAGTGCCCAGTTTGTAACAAAAGCAAGGGGAGCTGGTCTTCAAGGGTGTCCAACTTGGAAGGAAAGTGAAGTAGTTCACCTAGTCACCATTTGTAAGTCTTCTTCAAGAAAAAATGTTCTGTGGCTCTTTAGTCTTCCAAAATGATTAGAGGACACAGTATTATAGATTTGGTGTGAGCTTCCTCATTTTTGGAAGACAGCTTACAAAATTAAATCTTTCAAATATACATTGCCTACACTGAACCAGACAATAAGTATCTGAGATACAGTTTCTGCAGTCTCGAGTGACTGCATGCAGCAGGAAATTATAAGAATCCCAAGCGCGGTTAGCTCAGGAGAGACTTCATCCAGCTGCAACTGGAGCTAAAAAGAGAGGGCAGAGTTCAGTGGTAACTTCATGAAGGATTTGCAGAGAAAAGACAGGGCAGGGATTGTTGGATAAAACAACCAAACACACACACACAAAAAAAAAAAAACACACACAAGCTACATTTCAGAACTTACAACTTTTCTGGAGCACAGAGCACACTGCATAAAAAGGAACTTCATTCAACATTGGCTAAAATCAAAATACTTACTAATCACATATGTTAAACCTAATATATCATATCAGTATTTTTACCTCTAGAGTCATTCAGTCTCATCACAAGAAATTTAGATACAAAAAATTTTATGTACTGAAGTAAAATTACTAAAGTTAAAATTACTAACATACTTTGGGAAATATACAACCACATACACAAACACATGAACAAGGGAATTTTTTTTTCTTACTGACAGTTAAGATCTTGGAAAAAATATTAATTTAAACTTATTTCAGCAGTTCACAACAATCACAAATTCCTTTTAGGCCTGACAGGGTGATTCCATAGGTGACTCCATTGCATTTTGTTCTAAAATCCTCAAGTAAGGAAATAATGTGACTGACCAGCTGCAGTTCCTTTCCTGCAGTTCAGAAACTCTGGGTAGCCACACACTTAGAATCTGTGTAATTTCACACAAAAGACTGGCAATTGGCCAAGAGGCCGCCACCATTCCGTACACTCCCTGCGTTCAGGATTTTCCATTTAATTCCAATTCAGCCGTGAAATAACATCTACTTTAACAGATTATATTAATGTAGAACAAATTACATTCTAATTTAGAATAAAAGAATTTCCCTAACTTGCAAGGCAGGCGGTGCTCATATATATGTATTTTGGGGGGTGTGTACCAGGGATCAAACTCAGGACCTTGTGCTTGTGAGGCAGGCATGGCACCACTGAGCTAAATCCCTGGCCCTACAATTTTTATTTTAAAGGAGCCCTATGAATATAATTCTTCTCCATTAAGGTAATCTTTAAAATTTCCTCAAAGAGTTGGTTTGGTCAGAATCTTAACAACAGGAAGAAAACTCACTGCAAACCTATTACAGCACATGGGAGATTTAACTGTATTTGCAAAGTTCTCCATTATGCATCTCATGCACTCTGCTAAATGAAAATCAAGAGTGAATGTTTTCAATGTCTTGTATGAATAAGTTGACATGACCTATGACAATAATAGTAACATACTTCAAGAATGATCTATAGGGCCGGGGATTTAGCTCAGGTTCTGGGGCCTTCCTCGCAAGCACAAGGCCTGAGTTCAATCCCCAGTACCAAAAAAAAAAAAAAAAAAAAAAAAAAAAAAAAAAAAA